AGGGAGAGAGAGACAAAGAGAGTGACAAGAAAGAGAGAGATGGACAGAAAAGACAGGCAGAGAGGCAATCAGAGATAGACGGCATACAGACAGATAGGAGAGACAGACAGGCAGATAATCATACAGAGATTACAGACACACAAAGGACACACAGAAAGAGAAACAGAGAGACAGAACGACAGGCAGAGAGGCCATCAGAGACAGACAGACAGATCGGGGAGACAGACAGGAAAATATCTCATACAGAGATAACGGACACACAAGAGAGAGGGATAGCGAGAGAGACAAATCAAGAATGAACTCCAGACACGCCGACAAGCAACACTCGAGACATAGCGAACACCTCAGCGACCCACGAAACGCCAGCCAACTCCGTGACCGAACAACAGTTCCACGGCGCCTGCCATCCACACTACACACATCGTTCTCGATTCCCACCTCTTTCAACCGCTTGTCCTCCTCGGACAACCACGCTCGCCGCCCTGCGTGCTTGTCGCTCCCTCCCCCCTCAACGGCCGTTGACGCAGGCGGTGCTTGGATTCTTCTGCCTGGTATTTCCTCCTTGCTGTTGCTGGTGTTGCCCCCCCCCTTCTGCCCCCCCCTGCCGGCTGCAGGCGCCCCTATCGTTATCGAAGACGCTGCTTTGGGGGCATCCGCAGCGCCGAAGCCCTTGTTGGGGCCGTACAATACGGTGGGGCGGGTCACGCATAGCCAGCCGTGCATGCCGTAGTCGTTAGACGTTCGACCATTGAACTCGCATCCAACAAAAGTCGGTACGGAGCACGGCGGGTTCTAACCGTACCAGGTTCGCACATCACTAAGTACCAAGTGCCGTCAGACGTTCGGTGGGCCGCATGGAGGACGCGCTGTATCCTGCCAAGGGTGTTCGGCATCTTGGGCTTACCTACTTGTATACGGGTGGGGGGGGGGGGGGGGGGGGGGATTTCATTTCTGGGGGCCCCCCCCGGGGGGGGGGAAAAATGAAAAAAGGCCCTCCCCTTGGGACCCCCA